AAGTCACTCAACCCTGTTTGCCTCAGTTTCCTCATCTGTTCAATGCGCTGGAGACAGAAATGGTAAACCACTCCAACATCTTTGCCAAGAAAGTCCAAAATGGGGCCATGAAGAGTCAGACACGACTGAACAAAAACTCCTCCTCCTCCTGAAAAATTAGTTTTGCCAATTAAACCCACAGTGCCTTGGGTGGGGCTGGTTTTTAAATGGCACCTGAAGAATAATCATGCACTTTTCAGAGGGACCATAATTTTGCCAATCTTGAAGATGAAAGAGCAGCAGAATTAAACATTGTTTTTATTTTTTGAAAAAAGACTGGATTTCTAATTTGCAACATGGTAGAGATTTTCTAAATCTGTCCTGAGGATCCAGCTGTGCCTTTTTAGAGCTAGAATTCCCAAGCTGAGTGCACAGAAATCTATTTATATGGTCCCAGTTCTAGGAAAAACAAAGTTTTTGCAAAAGGCACTGAAACTAAATCTTACTTGGGAGAATCTTAGTCCAAGTGACTTTGGGAATGAGTTAAAACACTTACCCTGGACTTCAACGAGTTTAGTGAAAAGCCCCAGTATCCTTTGGTATTTTCCACAAATGTTCATGGCAACCCCACTTTGTCAACCATCTAAGTGGACCAAACAAATGAATTTAAGTACCTACGAGTTTGCGGATCCAGTCCACAAAGCATCACAGAGGCTTCCTTTGACAGAGAATACTATCTTATATTTGAGAATCAATGATGTGCCCTTGGACTAGGTAATGAAGACTAAGCTAAGTAGAAAAAAACAAGGAAAGAAAATAACATTTCACTTTAGAGGGGAAAAGGTGCTTAATTGCAGCTTTCATTATTAGGTTGATTAGTGAGTACGTTACAGGATAGTGAAATGAAGGCTAAGGTCGACCTTAGCTTTGTCTGGTGGGAACCATTCTGCCCTTGCTGTTCATTACAACCTGATCTCACCTGAATTAAAATCAGTGTGTTCTAATCCTGCCTGGCACCGGAATTAGATGATCCCAGTGCCAGTGAGCAAATATTCTGCTTAACTGAGGTGCCTCCAGGAAGCATAATTTACCTGTCTAAGGAGGATTTTTGGAGGGTTTCTTATGGTATTGGGAATGGGGCATAGGCTTCGCTGCCCACACTGATGGCCCCTGGGTGGGGTGAGGGATTTGGGGAGAAGAAGGTGGTAGGAAGAAGGGAAGATACTTTATATGCCAGATTCTGTGCACTCCAAATGGGTTGGGGCTGTGGTATGAGTTGTTACAAGATATATAGGGGGAGAAGTATTCTTTTATAATAATAACTATAATAGATAATATATAATTATAATATAACTATAATAATAAATGCTATTATCACATCTGGAAAGTAACACAGTATTTAGCCGGTTCTGTTTGCCAGTCATTATTATGAGCAAACAGAGATAAATCAACTACCTAGGAGAACTGGGCACAAGTCTTGGCTTAGCCACTTATTACTTGTCTGCTCTTGGACAAGTTATTTCAATTTTTTTAGTCTCAGTTTCCTCATCTATAAAGTGAGAATGTTTATAATACCTGTCTCCCTGGGATGATGGGAGAAAAGTACTTTGTAGTCTGTAAATCCTATAGAAATGTGGGCTATTTTTATTACGGCAATGTGCCAGTGTCTGTCTCCAAGGAAAATCATATATCCTGGTGAAACAGAGCAGAATAAGCATTTCCCTTCATGAGAAGCATTTTCAACAGAACCCAGCTCCCTTCCCACCAGGGAGAAGGATGTGAGCCCTAATTAGCAGGGTAGGAAGCACTGCATTTAGGCTTGTTTCCAAGGATGAGAATCACCCACTACACGACCAATACAGCACTGATGAAAGAGCCCTGGATTTGCAATCGGAGGACAGCTAGGTTTGGATCCTGATTTCCCATACCTTCTAGCTGTGTGGCTTTGGCCAAGTCATTTAACTTCTCTAGGTCTGTTTCCTCACCTGAAAAATAATGGCACTAATAATACTCATGCTATCGATCTCACTATTTATTGCAAAGAAAGCACTTTGTAAATTGTAAGATCCTACAGGAATGTGCAGAATTAAAGCTCCTTGACTGCAGGTGGTATTTCATTTTTGTCATTGTGTCCCCAGTGAATAGCACAGTATCTGGCACATAGTAGGTGTTCAACAAATCTTTGTTGAATTTCATTGAATATGAGCTATTATACTTTATTTAAAAGAGAGCAAACCTAGCATTTGCCAATGACCATCAGTTAGCTAGGAAATCATTTAAAAGGAATTGTCTACTGAGTTAATGGCCTTTATATTCATTAGCTGGGCAGAGAGAGGAATCTTCAGTCTATAGTCATATACTATGTGAAAGGGAGCAACTTCTTATCTCCACCACAGTTGATATAGTGACAGAAAGGCCAAAACATAACCAGAAGGTATTAATGAGGTGTTAAACCATCTGCAAAAGATGTTTTTATCCCGTTATCCTTCTGTGCGGTGGAAATGTCCTTCTGATTGAGTCAAGGGAGGGGATAGCAGGATTAGATGAATAAATGAATTGGCCGTGATTCTAGTGGCTATAAACAGCTAAGTCTTGAGTGAAGTTCAAGAGATCTGCCTGTAGAGAGGCTTCCTTATAATGGGAGAAGAGAGAATTTCTCTTCCTCCCTCACTATGTTGCTTTGAAAGGGAATTGGTGGACCCTGAATCCATTGGGAAAAAAGAGACATGCATTCATGTCTGTCAAGAGACAGACATAGATAGCTAAAGAGATAGTCAACTGAAGCTTCAAGAAATACATCACTGGGAAACTGAAGATTGGACTGTGTACAGGACTGGACCTTAGAAAATGATTATGATGATTCTATAAGGAAACAAAGGAGTTCTAGGGACAAAGAGACATGTGGAAAGTCAGAAGCTGGCATTTTAAGTTGTTGCGCAGTCGTTTCAGTCATTTCTGACTCTGTGACCCCATTTGGGGTTTTCTTAGCAGAGATGCTGAAGTGGTTTGCCATTTCCCTTTTCGGCTCATTATACAGATGAGGAAACTGAGGCATACAGGGTTAAGCAACTTGCTCAGGGTCACACAGCTAGTAAGTGTCTGAGGCCAGATCTGAACTCAGGAAGATGAGTCTTCCTCACTTCAGGCCCTGAACTCTGTCCACTGTGCCACCTAGCTGTCCTGCTGGCATTTTATGTAGTGACTCCCTATTTCCTGTTGTTGAATGCATAGTACTATGGCAAGAGCTCTGGATTTGGCATCAGAGGACCCAGGTTCAAATATTATTTCTGCTACGTGCTACCTGCGTGACCTTGGCTAAATCTCTGTACCTTAATGTGCTCAGACATAAAACAAGGGAGTTGGACTAAATGGTGCTTCTAGCTCCAAATCTATGATAACGTGATGCAGAATCACAAGATCCTTGTTACTGGGGACTGAAAGGGACTACAGAAACCAACTCATGTATTCCATAGCCTGTTACAGGAACAGCCTCTGGTGTTAAGAATGTCAGTGTTTGACTTAAATCATTCATACTTCAAGCATTTTATTGATGGGTGTCTTCCACTCGTCCAGATCACTCTTCTTTCTTTTTGAGTTCCTGTGGCTTTAAAAAAAATCCATCACCCAGTGCCCAGCCTTTTGGTATTCAGACTTTCTGATGTTCTCAGATGGCAGACACACAGTCTGTTACTTGGCCTAGTCCCATTTCATGGTCGTGGCCAGAACTTGCCCTCCACTGTGGTAGCCTTGGAGAACCTGAGGCCAGCTCCATGCACTGGAATCGGACTGTGGCTTGTTCCTATTTCTTCTAGTTCTCCATTGGTGGAGCAGGGCCACAACTGATCCTTCCATCTTTGTTTTTTTCTTCTGCTTAGATACTCTGAATTCCCGCAAGCTTCCCATTCCTTCCATTACCATCATCTTTCTGACTCTCAGTGCTCTCCATGCCCTTCTCGTATGGCAGAGCCCCAAACAACAATAAATGACAAGGATAAATGATCACAGAGACAATGAGCTGGTGGGGAGGAGATTTGTAGCCAGCTTTGACTACAGAGTTTGTTGATGTCTTGAGTGGCTGGGTCTCTTATTTTGACATGAGAGAGGGAATTGGGCAAGATATTCACTATCTGAGGAATGTGTGGGAAATGCTCATTCCCTTCTGTTTAACCAGGATATCGAGTTTCCAACTCATACTTTCTACTCAATACTGGAAAAAGTGTTCCTATCTAAAAATGACAATAGGTGGAAATACTGTGCTAGCAAAATAAAGACACAAAGGTTGTTGAGGAAATTCAATAGTGATTAACTTGGCATTAGCCAGGAACTGACAGTCTTAAGAGGTATTTTTCAAAAGAAAGTACACATATAAGTCTTAAGCTATTTCTGATTAAAGGGAGTTTATTGACTTTTTTTTAAATAACCAGAGAGAGTGGGAGGGACCTCGAGGTAGGAGACCTGGGTTGTGGCCCTGGCTCTATCCTCCCTTATCAGCTATATGACCTTGGGAAAGTCATTTAACTTTTTTAAACCTCAGTTTTCTTATTTGTAAAATGGGAATAATTATGCTTCTCGGCTATGCCTTATAGAATTGTAAATGAGATGATTATGTATGCAAAATATACTGTAATCAAAAAGCATGAAATAACTGTGAGTAGCTATTAATTTTAATTAGGGCAAAACTCTTTGAGATGAAATTTTTTACAATCTGATCTGGAATGTCTTCATGATATGAAAGCAGCAAAGCATATTGACCTTTTATATTACTTGAGAGAGAAATAATTTAACAAAATCAAGAAGCTTTCTATAAAGCAAACCCAATCAAGCAAGCCATTGAGAATGTATATTTACACTGTTTCTTCTAATATGGAGATTACAGGAACTCACAAACTTAAAATGTACAAAATATGTTCATATGCTATGAAATTCCCAATAGTTCTTTGCTAAAATGTATTATGTTTAGAGTTGAGAATGTAAAGTTACCAAAAAATGTAATGGCTCATTAATACACAACTTATAAATGCATCTTTCTTATGAACTATGACAGTCATCATTAAAATATTTATGCTGCATCCATTCTGGCTCTCCCTTCAATGCACATTTCTGCAGCCAATGGCCCATGGCTATTCCTCATCAGATACTATTCTGGAAGGTTCTTCATTCTCTCCTCTTGGGATGGTGGGTCCTTTCTGGCTTGGAATGGCAGGAAGCACCCGGTTTGTCCTTAAAGGTTCTCCGGACAGAACTAGCAAGAAAGAATAAAATAGATGATTTTGAAAAATCCCTTGAGTTGGGGACGTGGTGAAAACTGATAAAGAGAGAATTCAATTTAAATCAAGTATTTATCAAGAGCCTTTTACATGTAAGGTGTTGTGTGAGGCAGCTAGGGATGTAAAGACAAAATAGAAATTGTTCTTGCCTTCTAGCACATCTTAAAGAGCTTACATTCTGTTTTGGACAATGCAGAGGCTTAGAGATGTTTTTGCACCATGTAGAGTGTGGTTAGTTAGTATCTGGACTGCAGAAGAAAAAAAGGGGCAAAAGCACATTTTTTAAAGCTGCCTAATAAGTCTTCAGAGTTTAGTTCATAAAAATTATAAATGTCAAAAACAAAATGATACAGGACTCAGTCAAGGATTACTAAAACATGATTAGGCTGATTGCAGATTCCCAGCAGTATTCTCTCCTGGGTGTGGCAAGAATTACATGAGTGCGGACCAAGTAAATGCATGACTCCAGAAATGTGTCCACAATCTGCTTTATGGTTTAAAGAATGATACAAACCCCAAAAGGATTCTAATTTCATTTTACCCATTTTTTGTAAGGGTAGGTGAGGTGGAGAGAAACAGCAAAAAACAAAATAATAGACATTTATATAGTATTTGTTACATACACGCATCATTTCCTTTGTTCCTTAAATAAAAAAAATTAAAACCCCCCAAGAATATCCCAAAACAAACTCTGTGAGATGAGTACTACAGGTTTTATTATTTCCATTTTACAGATGAGGAGATTGAGGTTCAGAGAGATTAAGTGACTTGCCCGTGGTTACATAACTCATATTTGAGGTGGGATTTGAACCCAGGTCCCCATAATTCCAATTCCAGGACTCTATCCACATGGCCACTCTGCCTCTGAAAACAATATGAAACAAGAAAACAAAACCCCATAACTCTCCTTAAGTTCACCTAGATCTAAATCTGAAACCAGAGCTCCACCTTCTTTTCTCTGAAAGAACCTCAGTTCAATTTTAAAAATGATTTTAAGATTGATGAGACTTTTAAGTTCTGCTTAAATTCTGTTGGCCTTTTGCCAATCCCAACTAGGGTTTAAGTCTGGATAATCCTCTCTCTCTCTCTCTCTCTCTCCTTCTGTCTCTTCCTCCCCCCTTGTAAAAGAGCAACTGGTTCCAGTTCCAGAGATTTATAGACCAACTAGAGTGCACTCTCCTGATTCAGAAGAGTCCACCTTCTTGTCTCTCAGTGGCCAATCATCTTCCACACAGCCCCAAGTCATCCCACCAAAGTGCATGGCCCTGAGAAATGCACCTGAGTCTAGCTCCAACTCATTTGATCAGGAAAGGCACCATTGCATGGTAGTTAGCATTGAAGCCAGTAAGGGCTGAGTTCAAAACCAGTCTCTGGCACATACTGTCAGTGGGACAAGTCACTTAAGCCCTCAGTCCTCCAGGCAGCTCTGTTGGAGAAAGGTGCTGACCTGCAATTGGAAAGGGAAGTTTCTTCATCCAGAGCTTCCTTCTACCAAAGAATCCGTAAGTCCAGTTCCCATCCCTTCTCCTCGAAAAACTGCCCCTTCCCCCTTAATACATAAGCTTTCATTGAAAGACACTATGATGCAGCCAGTAGAGAGGGGATTTAGGATTCATCTCCTACCTCTCTGACACTTTGGCTGAGTCACCATGGGCCCAAATTAGCATCTTCTCCTCCAGGCCCTTTAAGATTGCAGATGACCTTGATATCATATTGAGTCTCTTTCTAGAAGGGACCCTGTTACCCACATTTTGGAGAGATACAAGACATGAACCACCCTAAACTTTGTTTTAGAAACTTTCCCAGAATTGATAGGGATAGAGCCAGAGAGAAAAAAAAAAGCCTGACCTTTCTCTTTGAGGTCAGTCCTCCACCCTCCCCGTGAATCGGGGTGCATGTAAGCCCAGAGTCAGAACCTCTTATAGGAGATAGTTCTCAGGGCCATGGGTAATATTTATTATATATCAATCTGATGGAATTATATACTTGTTGGAGAAAGTCTTGATTCAAAATGCTTCCGAAAAGAAAAAAACACAGTGCCATTGTATTTAGATTCAGTTCACATAACGACCTAATCTTCCCCGTGTACATATACTGTGCTAGGAGCTCACATTCAATTATGGAATTATCAAGTTCATCCTCTTGTTTTCTTCAAGTCATAGCTACCAACTTGTGACCTTGGGCAAGTCACTTAACATATCTGACCTCAGTTTCCCCACTTGTAAAATGTGGATCACCATACTCACTCTAGAAACTCTGTGGGTTTGTCATGAAGAAAACATTTTACAAATCTTAAATGTAAATGTGAGGAGTTATTATTAAGAGGCTCTTACTGTCTTTTTCGTTTAAATTGATGAGGTAGCTAAGAAGGGGAGAAGTCAACCAGTCACTGAGAGTCACAGGATGGGTTTGCTCTGCCTTTGGATTCTATTAACTAGCCTGGACTGCTTTTCCAAAAAGCATAGTGTATCAGAGAACTGACTGGGGGCCCCTGATCAATTGAATCCCCCCAACCCACTTGATATGGCAGTTAAATGGTGATTTGGATGGAGCACGTGATCCGGGAGTTAGGAAGACCTGAGTTCAAATCTGGCCTCAGACACTTACCAGTTGTATGAACCTTGGGCAAGTCATTTAACCCTGTTTGCCTTAGTTTCCTCATCTGTAAAATGAGCTGTGGAAGGAAATGGCAAATCACTGCAGTATCTCTGCCAAGAAAACCCCAAATGGGGTCATGAAGAGTCGAGTATGACTGAAATGGCTGAACAACAACAACAAAGTCCACTTGATGAAATTACAGGATAAAAGGAGGTTATAGAGTCCTAAAATATTTTGAAGGCAGTATAGTATAGTGCATAGAATACTACTACTTGACATCAGGCAGAACTTCCTTGGATGAACACATTAGCTGTGTGTCCCTGAGAAAGTCACTTCAAGTTCTCAGGTTTCCTCATCTCTAAAATGAAGGAGTTGGACTTGAGCTTTCAGGTTCCTTCCAGCTCTAACCTATGATACTATAATGGAGTGGTTTACACCTTTCAGACTTTAATGAGGACCATTTGCTCCCTATAAATGGTTTTCCTCTTTCAGATTTTAGTTAAGGTTAAATGAGTACAAAGAATTTCTTCTACTCCCCTCCTCCTTTAGAACATTTGGAGAATTCCTCACCCAACTGGTTAAATTTCAGAGCAACCAGACATTGGTTGAAGAATCACCCTCCCCATTCACTTCTAAAAAGTAAGAGAAATCTCTGAAAAGAGGGCCATCCCTGGCTGTTGAGAAGAGAGCCAGCTGCAGAAGAACTCAACTCTTGAGAAGGAATTACTCTTTACCTTTTCTTTGACATCTCTTCCAGATATAGCAGGGGAAAGGGTTTCTTTTTCCATTCTCATCCGATTTGCAATGGTGTTATACGGTGGGCAAATCACCCAGTAGAATTTGTGCCCATCACAGAGGAGGGTCAGAGGGTCCAGCTGCAGATTCTAACTGAGTTGCAGAGTGGAGCAGGTCTAGTGAACCTAATAGAATAACATGCCAACAGAAATGCTGTGTGTGTATGTGTGTGTGTGTGTGTGTGTGTGTGTAGAGGGTGGTGGGGGAAGCAGCATGAAGATACCACAAGAAGAGAAAAGACATCAGGGTCCTGCTGTGCCAGGGTTGTGAATTGCTTTGGCTCGTGTATTCCCTAAATGCATATGCTCACTCTTCCCCTTATTGCTGTGTACATTGTGTACGAGTGTGTCAAAGGTTTGTAGGGAAATGTTTTGTTGCCTTTGCTTTGAGCTAATTGTGACCTTTGCTAATTATTAGAGGAGAATGCACCAGTGGGGACTCACGAGCTATATAGTTTTAGGATTGCAAACCCACAAAATACCTTGAACCTATAATGGTGGTCTCCCTGGGGACCCAACCTGTGGGTGTGATTTAGGGGATGGTGATATGCAAGGGAGAAATATTTGCATAGATACAGTCAGATGTTGGGGTGGCTCAAGGCTATAGGGTTTTACCACTCTGATGGATCAGAAATTCTATGGCAGCCACATTCCAGGGAGAACAATGAGATTTTGCCTCTTTAAGGGACAAAATGGAATTTTCCAATGACCTGGAAAATTTTCTAGGGAATTAGGAGGGGCTATAGTATGAATGTATAAAGTGTGTGACATTCTGAAAAGGAAAAGATGAAATGTCCTAGGAAATGTCCCAGAGATTTATTAAGGCCCTTTTCCCAAATCTATCTAGTCTTTTGTTATCCCTTGTGTGATATGACTAATATTTACCAGATTTTCCCTGACCAACACCTTTCCCCCAACTTACAATATGGGGAGGCCCAGGGAGGCTCTCCTCCTTCCCTAATCCTTAGGTACTAGCTTCCCTTAAAAGGAGATGGCGCTGTCCCAGGTACCTGTCTGACCCTGACTTAAAAGACATAACAAATCTTAGACGTGAGCAGTCAGGGCCTCTCAGACTTGGTGGATATCTGAAGGCCATGTGAATCACTATGTCCTTCACCATATCCTGTTCTGAGAACCAGATGCATTTCCATATGGAGACTAGGAGCCACATCTAGAGAAGCGATTAAATCCTTGTTACATGTCCTTGTTGTGTTAGGCCAAAGTATACCTCCTTCTGTTAAATGTTCAATGACTTGTAAGTGCCTCATTTTCTCCCAGCATTGAATCCAAACAAAGAGAAGGCATTAGAGTGGCCTTCAGTGCCTTGTTTCCTTGACTTTTTTTTGTTACCCCTCTCAGACTTCACTTTTCTTCCTCTCTACTCTCAAGCCAATAGTTAGTCATTTCAATTCTACACTGCCTTCTGCTCTTGAAACCTTAGCCCCCTTGTCCTTTCACCACTTATCTCTTGCCAAACCTCAGCTCTGGATTATTCTAACCATCTGTTTGCATTACTCCTAACCATGAGCTGCTAAATACAGCTGGAGGAAGTCTCACAACTTTGTTGACAGGGTACACTACAA